TATACTATTTGTGCAATATTGAGAAAACTCAATAAAAGCTTTTGACTATATCATGAGAAACTGCAAATCATCCCACAGTCGCCACAATATTTTGATGATTTTCAGTGGTTGCCTTACCCTTATTTGCAGACGTGTTATTAAGCCAATTTACTTTTACAGGATCCATTTCTAATGAAATTCTTGTCACATGTAAAACAAAAAGCACATAACATCAAAAAGGTTAACAAACTTCAATTGTATATAAATCTATTGCTGCTAGGATTAAGATGGCTATATTACCACGATGACGTCTTGGTGGTCGAAATCATTATTCTACCAAATACGCTTGACTCCAAGTCATCTCAATAATAATGTATCCAGTACACAATGCTTATGGCAATACACCTTATCCTTGACAACAGGTGGCACAGCCTCCTCTTATCAGAAGAGAATGCCTGTTTGGATTCCTGAACTATTTCTTCCAAAATACGCTTTTTTGTGAAGAATCATTATTTTCCAAAAAAAATACTCCCTTAGTTTCATTTATTAAGCACATGGTACGAAATTTATTATATGTATTTGAGTCTAGAATATCCTATTAGTATTTAATCGGGTATGAATACCCAGTGTAATACTTTGGTTAAGTTATGACCGTTCAAATAACTTATATTTGCACCCTTCAATTCTTTTAAATGAATATACTTTATTAGATCAATTATTATGCAAAACTAATATGCGGTACATTTATCAAATAATGATGAACATGTAGAAGTAGTGTAGAAAGATTAAATAAAATTTTGGGAACACACTGTTTTATTCGAAATGCACGGCCTTGATAATGTACGTAATAATGTATATCTATTGTTTGAATTGCTTTATTAATGCTAATATCACCGTGGAGAGATATAGATAAGTTATGGACCACCATATTTTGAATTCTCGTTCTCTGATTGATACCTCAATAATAATAATGTTCATTTCCAAATTTACATAGATAACAAACGGAAAGTATCCAAAACTTGTGCTTGGGCGAAATACATAAAACCTTTATTAATATACTAAGTGACATATAAATCCGAACACCCAGTTTAAATGGTTTTATTTTAATAAAATTTGGTGAATGTATTTATCTTACTGTAAATAACAAGTGAACAAATTTTCAGCCTTATCAGTTGGACATTCCGGTTTTTATACTGATTTTTTTTAATTCACTAACGCTCTAAAAATGAATATTTCAGCCGCAGTAAAGAATCAACGTTGGCAAATTTTGGTTCTTGACATCCTTTACGATCGGTTACGATGCCTAGAGTACGGAGACCTGTACGATTTCGTCAACTTAGTAAGTTTGATAGGGGCCGTATAGTGGGACTTCGGGAAGCTGGACTTTCTTTTCGGGCAATTGCAGTTAGAGTGCAAAGAAGTGTAGACACTGTGGTTAGGTGTTGTCAGGCATGGCTTTAGAAGGCCGTACGCAAAGAGCAAGGGGCACTGGACGCCGCCGTAGAACAACAGACCGTGAAAATCGCCGCCTAAGATTATTGGCCTTAAGGGACCGTTTCTCCACTACCAGGTACATTGCAAATAAATGGTTTGCAGAACACGGAAGACCTATTGGCATGCGAAGTGTTTACCGACGAATGAGAAGTTTTGGCTTGTTTTCATACCGGCCACACTGGGTCCTCCCTTTAACTCGAGAACACCGACGTAATCGCCTTGAGTGGTGCAGACAACGGTCACTGTGGGATCAGGAATGGAACAGTATTGTCTTTAGTGACGAGTCTCGATTTTGTTTAAGCATGCACGATGGTCGTGCCAGGGTTAGAAGGCGACGTGGTGAAAGGAGGAATCCACAGTTTTTTGTTGAAAGACATGTTCATCACACTGTTGGAGTTATGGTTTGGAGTGCTATAGCTTATGGTTCCAGGTCACCTTTAATCTTCATCAGAGGTAACATGAACGCGCAGCGTAATATCCAAGAAGTTCTAGAACCCCATCTTTTACCCTATCTTGACACCCTGGCAGATCCAACTTTCCAACAAGATAATGCCCGACCACATGTTGCAAGAGTCACAATAGACTTCTTTCAACATAATGATGTCACATTGTTACCATGGCCACCAAGATCTCCCGACTTATCCCCAATTGAGCACGTGTGGGATATGATGGGTAGGAGATTGCTCAATTTGCAACGTCCTCCTCAGACTCTAGAAGCACTTCGAGAGGAGTTGGTGGTTGCCTGGAATGAGATACCACAGGAGGACATTGACCACCTGATCAGAAGCATGCCTAGGCGCGTTGGAGAATGCGTAGCACATCAGGGTGCATCCACACATTATTAAAGGTCAAAGGGCTTTAAAGCAGTGCAATCATTTTGAAATTTTTATCATTTACTTATTATGCTTCATTAAGTACTTATACAAAATTTTATTAAAATAAAACCATTTAAACTAGGTGTTCGGATTTATATGTCACTTAGTATACAAAGAGTTGTTATAGATAAGACATACATCTAGATATTAGAATGAAAAAAATAACTATATAAAATTTGACAAAATCTGGTGTACGTAGACAACATCGAGCTGTATCTTCTAATTTGGTTACATGAATAGACTACATCTGTGTATATGTATTTCAAAATCTCTTTTTTTTTTTGTTGCTTTATTTCAAGTTTAGAACTAGTACTGATTTTTTATATCAGTAATTCCATGCATCTTAAGTCTGGGTTGACTGAAAATCCAGAATCTCAATTGTTTTTTGACGATTTTGATGTTTTGGGGCCTCTCTTATTTGCAATGGAATTGTGTTGCTATGACATGCAATGAAAACAGCGGTCTCCTGTTACCCATTTCCTGAGTACTGGAGAGAGTAGCAGATGCGCTGAAGATTAGTCCACGCAGTGTTCCGCCCATGGTACGGAGATTCGATCTGTTTGCTTATTTCATATGGCGTTGATGACGCAACCGCCAAGAACGGTGACTACAACTATAGCAGCTATCGGTGCCTGCTACATAAGCATGGGAGAAAGTTTATCAAAATTCTACCCAGTAAAACATCGAATAATGTGGACGATGCGACGATCCTCATGATTTAATACCGCTGAGTTTATTGAGGCCAAAATTCGAGAAGAATTAGAGGTGATCTCAGACATGCTAAATTCTTTTTCACAAGAAACCATGAGCGAAAGAGAAATTAGGATCTGGATTGAAAATGATAAAGAATTATTGCCGCTTGAAGATAGTGCGGTGGAAATCAGTTACGATGAAGGACAGTAGGAAACTAGTAATTTAAAGACTGTAAATGAAACCGCGCTTAACAGTTTAAATGTGATTCTGAAGTGGGCGGAAGAAAACGACTTTCCTATAAATGATATTTTAGTGTGCAAAGAATAAAAAAAGTACTTTCTTGAGGAATCTAAAAAACGTTAAGCAAATCAAAATTACAAGTTTCTTCAATAAACAATAGTTTGGCATGTTTCCCGTATGTACCTATATATTTATGTATTGCATTTTGTATTCATTAAAATATTTAAAATAAACGTGTTCAAATAGTTCGAATTTTTCAGTAATCCGAATATCCTGGTTTTTACTGGTTTGGATTATCGAAGTTCTACTGTATTAACATTCAAAATTTAAATTTTCCTCAATAGAATAAAAACATTTATTAGTTAAATAATTGAAAACCATTCTTTTGAAAGTACAGTAGATATCAATATCCGTCAGATCTCTAGGTAGAGCATTATACATTGCTACAAATTATACTGCGATGACCTAGGGTGAGTTAGTCCTAAAACCACTTGATTTTAACTTGGTGATTCTTGTATTATAATCATGCTGTTCATTTTGCATCTCGAAGTTGTTAATGTTACATTTAACATGATTTACGTGTTTAGTTTATAGTATATAAAAATACAAGGTACAGTTTGTTGTCAATAAAGGCATGCAAGTTTCCCTGAAAGTGAGATTGAATAATAAATAGTCTGATAATATCTTTTTGTGAAACGAAGACTCTGTTGCTCTACCCCAGCATAGAATATTATACGACAGGTGGCTATATACAAATGCATAGTAAAGAGATAATAGAAATTTTTCATCTAAATATTGTTTCATGTGAAATAATACAAAAAAGCTTTTGTTCAAATTGCAGCAGATATGGTTTTTCATTCATTCAAAAATCATGTCTCCATCAAACCAGCTACGAAAGAGCTTAACATTGTCTGACTGAAGGAATAATTTTTTAATGTCAAAGTTGATTGCACCTAGTTTTATGTTTATTAAAAAGTATCTACCTCCATTGTGCTCTGCCGAGTGCCTGAACCAACAAAGAGTAGGTCCGAAGCTGCACGCATGCGCAAATCGCGCGTTAAGTCTATCTCTCTTACCCCCCCTATAGAGGATCTATAAAAGAATTTATCAATCCCGGCGGTCGTAATAAAGAGAATGGAAAACTGATACGTGTGAGAAATTTCAAATTATTCATACAGTGAACGTCCAGCCGCGCATCAAGGCCAAGTAGACCACTGACGATCCACGACACCACTCATTCCTCTTATTTAACTGCTCGAAACTCAAGGTTTGGCCTGAACTCCGCATTGCCAGACGCATTCTCGTCTAAGTTTAAGTATAAGTAAATTGAGAGCTTTATTAATGTTACTGATGACGTTTTGTCAGAGACAATAAAAGCTGGCATAGCACCCAGATTCAAATACTATCCAGTCACCTTCGTGGATGTGGAGAGGTCTTTTTCGACCCATGATAATATTGTGAGTCATCCATCTTACCGCTGAAGATTTGGAACAAACCTTAGTGTTTGTGTTTACGAGTCGAGTTTACACGGGTCAAATAAACGGTCAAGTTACTTGCCTCCCCACTTGCGTGGTTGCATTCTATTTTACTTGATTCACAACTTGATCCAAAGAGCGCGTTTCCACGTAGTCCAGTAGATGTGCACGTCGACAGTTAAAAACATGGTGGAAAATCATATTGTCATACTAAATTGTGTTATTAATCTCACAAATATGCTAGTGAAAGAACTGGAAGAAGTTTTAGAGGAAGAAAGAAATCCTGAAAAAAAGATATGGTATCGAGAATGGCTTACACGGGGCGAAAGTCAAGGAGCTTCCACCAATTTAATAAGGGAGGTGAGATTTGAAGATCCTAAAGAATACAGAATGATGCTCAAAATGAAAAATTTAACTATTTGTTGTTATCATCCCTTTCGAGATTCTAAATCAGCGATATCTATCATGATTCCCATTGTTTGTTAAACTGTGTACGACTGCTTAAAGGATTTCGTAAATGTATGTGAATAGATAATAATAGAACATTTTTGAAATTTTATTTAAGCTTCTTAATAAACAAACAAATTCAATTGTATCATTTAGTTTGTCAAGTTCCATGCTTTTTTATTGTTTGATCCTGCTTCTACCCGAGAACCTGTTTTACCAGTCGATTCTACTCGGGAGCATGTTTTGCTGGTCGAAGGTCTTATAGGAGTCTGCGAGAGATTTGGAGACGGTTCTTCAATGACTTGTTCCTCTAGCAGACCTTGTTCATTTTCGCTAGGTGGAGCGATTTGTGTTTCCTAAAATAAATGAAATACTAATTTAATATTTCTCATTTGCTTACTGATTAATTGTTATTTTTTGTTTATTTTTTCAGGTTCCTGATACACATGATGCTTGGAAAAAAGGTGCGAATGGGTTTGAAGCAAGATCGAATTTTCCTTTCTGTTGTGGTGCCATTGATGGCAAAAATGTCTTGATCGAGGCTCCTCCACATACTGGAAGTGAATACTTCAACTGTAAAGGCTCCTTCAGCGTGGTACTTATGGCAATTGTAGATCACAATTACTGTTTTTCTTATTTTAAAGTAGGGACAGCGAAATTTCAGGATCTCTAGAAGAAGGATTACTATCCGATGGTTACTTTTTAGTTGGTGATTATGCTTTTCCTCTACTTAAACGATATAGTAGATACCGACTACCTCTTACCGATGAAGAAAAGATTTTCATTTATCGGCTTAGTCGTGCCAGAAGAATAGTGGAAAATTGTTTAGGAATCTTAGCAAGTAGATTTTGTGTTTTTGAAACAAAAGTAAAGATAAAAGTTTCCTCTGTGAAGAAATTGGTTAATGCTGCAATTGTAATTCACAACTGGCTACGAAAAACGTCACCAGATCAATACTTCAATAATGCACAATTGGTTGATTGTGAAAACCAACACACTGGCGAAATAATACCTGGACAGTGGAGACAAGAGATTCGAGATAGCAAAACGCATGCGAAACAAAATGAGGGATTATTTATTTCTGAAGGAGCAATGCCTTGGCAACGAAATTTTATAAATTAGTTACCAGTTAATAAAAAAAACTTACTATGCTTTTCGTTCCATTTTCAGCTGTGTAGCTATCCATTATTTCTTCCAGTTATCAGAACCACTTGACAGTTGGAACGTATATATAATCCTGTTCACGATGTCCTCTTCAGCTGCTTTTCGCATGTTTTTATTACGATAATTTACACTATTCTTCCATAAACACTCTTTTTCACTATAGAGTTCAACAAAATGCATAGTTTCTTCTTCTCACTACTTCATCTTGTACAAATTCAACCTTAATTCACAAGTTTTCTTATAAAAAAATCACCAAAATTATTTGCTTATCTGTGATCAAAATAGGTAAAAAATCTTAAAAAACACAGAGTACAAATCCACAATCCATGCGCAAAAACTTATTTACTCTTGCTTTTTCTGTTTACATTGGTATAGTAGGCGGTCAAGTTGGCGATCCAGTGAAGTGGGGGTAGCAGTCAAGTAAAGTTACTTGTTCACCGTGCAGAACCCCAACGGCCACTTCAAAAAAAAATGCAGTTTGGAGGGCCGCATTATAAAATCTTGTGTTTCTATTGCATTTTATCGTTAATGTAAGAATTGTGCATATTCGGTATTTGAGAGTAATTTATACATGTGATGTATACATGACCCGTGAAGCGGACCGCAAGAAAGGAGTTCGGAGGGCCGTATGTTGGACAGCCCTGGTTTAGACGATGCAATTAGAAAAAAATACTTGACTTACTGCTCAACTCTACCGTTTACTTGACCCGTGTAAACCCGGCTTTACTGGTCTCATAGATAAGTAAGTAAGGTACTTAGTTATTTGTAAGTCGATTTAAAAATAAAAAGTTTAAATATCATTGTTATTTAATTTTGTATATTTTTATACTTTCATGCATGTTTTCGTGCATATTTCAAACTTTTTATGTTGCATATAATCCAGTCTCGTAGTTCGACCACCCTGCCACCCCATTCGTTCAAAGGGTCGTCAGCACGCCACTAGCGTCGCGTCGCGTCCAGTGCAACGCGTCGGGCGGCGGCGTCGCGACTAAAAAACACAATGCGCCCGCCACCCCATTTAGTTCGAGTTCACTGGGAAACCGGTAAGTCGAACTTCATCTGGCCTTACAGGGCGGTTCGCATTATAGGCACTCATCTACCGTCATAGGCGTAGCATGAATGGATACTATTGAGGGTTCATCAAACCAATGCAGCAGATTCGCAAAGAATTTCATGGTAGATTCCAGGTGAAGCCTCACACCAAAGCGAATATAATCTAAGTTCTATTTTCAGTACCTAAGATTGAATGCTAGTGCTAAAATATGGGTTAATGAAAATTTGATGATGGACTTATTGAAGGTTTAGACCCTGCAGAACCTGAACTTGGTGATTTTTAAAATGTAGAAAATAATCCAAGGAGAGCAGCAATATTGGCATTTTTTGTACAAGAACAATTATGACTGCGAGCAACCAGGAGAATTCAAAACTAAATTAAAATGTTGCTGAATATATATATATGAATTTTTTTTTTTTAGCCCTGGTTGGTTCTGAAAAACAGCTTGTGCTGATGTAACCCGCCAGGTAAAATAAAGGCCATTTATTATTATTATTATTATTATTATTATTATTATTATTATTATTATTATTATTATTATATAAAAGGGTTTTGTGATATACGGTGCGTAACAGAAGTTTGGAACGCATCGAATATCTGACGAATGACTCGTCTAATTTCTTTTAAATTGGTCCGTTTAGGTTCAAAACCACGGCGGGTCCGTTGATCATATCCTCGATGTTGCCAAATCTTCAGTTTCTCAGAAACTAATAGCAACTTTTGTTTTTCTCACAGAATGATATTCGATATCTGCATCCTGCGAGAAATTCTTAATACTTTTTCTTAAACATACTTTGACGTAGGCCGCATAGTTTTCCATTGGTTTCTTGTCTCAAATACACTTACTTGAGATGTATTCAAAGCTAGAAATTAGATGCGTATCCACTGTTTCTTATTCATTCTGGAAATTACATATGCAAATTTGATGAATTTCAAAGATGTGAGATAAGAAAAGAAAACCCCTGGTTGGTGGAGTATAGTAGAAGTAACAGGTGAGAAAATATGCTATAGACAGGAATATTCATGAAACGTAAGAAACCTCTCACCAGAAAGATATACTATGGCAGCATATTCAGTAATTATTTTCTCGCATAACAAATATCACTGATTTTATACACATATAGACTTCCTACTCAACCAACTTTCTTTCTTCCACACCTTCTCACAGACAAACACTACAGACTACTCGACTTTCTGGAGCCAATAAGCAACCAACAATGCGTCATTTCGTTAAGTCATTCCTCAATAGATGGACGCTTCTGAAAGCGCTCACAGCGATCATAGCGAACAAACGTGGAATGAACTGTTTGCACAATAAAAACTACCTAGTCTGCAGGTGATACCTGTAGCTTATCGAATTGCTGAAGGACATCAAAAGACAATAATGTAAAACTCACCTTTCACGTGAGCTGATTTCAATGCATCCGCAATTAATGAGGACAAAGCCTGCGTAGCTGAACCAATTGACCCCACTATAGCCCTAACTGGTAAAACCGGTTTGTGTATTCTTGGAAGTGCATACAATTTTTGAGACACAGAGTTATAACTGATCAAGAATTTCCTTTGGTCCTGATTAATTTGTTCAGTATCAAATAATAATAATGTCATTATAACTTTTTCATCTCTTGACGTAGGATATCTATTAATATGTGAAGAATTACTATCAATTAAATTTACACACAAGTCTAAGTATTGTAGTCTTAACATTATCACAGTGACTACTGTGTGTGATCTTGTGACAATCAGTTCCGCATCTTCTTTCGGAATTTCTTGGTTTGGTTCAAAAGGTTGTGATATAGAATGAGTGTTTCTTATTAAAATTGCTGTTATGGTAATAATTAATTGGTGATCAGGAAGGTCGAACGAGTTGTGAAAATGTTCCTTTCTGTATCATTATTAATAGAAGATGTACATCAGCTGAGGTGAATCTAATTGAAATGTCTGTATCAACAAGTGGCTCAAGCGCTAAGAACTCCGGACGTAAACTCACTCTACTCTCGGAATGTCCGGGTGGAGGGTGGGCTCGAGGGAATAACGTCGAAGATAAAATCAAAAACAAAAACATTGTGACTATATGCAATGGTGGGATATCTCTTATACCTACGCATATGGTGACGAATTCAAATCCCTATAGTTCGAGTCTCACTCTACCTTGCATAGCATATTTCCCGCCGAATCTTATGATGGGGTGACTCCATCCAATGCATCGGGGTCGGGGTTCGGGGTTGATGCTACCCCGCCATTCACTGATCAGTTTAAAACATGAGTCATACGGTGCTATTTGGCGTTGTTAGGGACATCGCGTATGTTATGTGGTGCGAACAAAGAAAACACTAAAAAAACAGTTTCTTCAATATTCTTCGTTAAAATGGAAGTGGCGATTTGTCAGTGAATACATAATGAAAGGTAACACGCATTGGATGGAAACCGGAAGGCTTCTACTGAAGCGAATTTGAGCTGGCTTCTGGTGACGTCGTAACACAGGTATCGTATTTCAATGAGGAGGACGCAACTAACTGATTCGAACACGTAAGTAAAATCAAAAGCATTTTGTTATTGACAAGGGGGTACACATGTCTACGGACTATTTCGTCGATCGCCGATGCTCAAAAAACTGACGGAATTTTCTAGGTAGGCATTGAAATTATTAGGTCATTTATATTATATATATTTAATATATTAACGGAAAGGTTTTGAACATGTACTATGATGTATCTCTCCTTATTTATGATTATTATTGTTATTACCATCAATTCAATTTTCGTTTCGGGTTCAGGTTTCACCATACCTTTTTAATTGCTTATAATTTTCGTTCTAACAACAAATTCATGGCCAACCAGAAATATATCACTGGTATAGGGCTGAAAACTTCATTTAAATTTACAAATTTCCAATAAAGCGTCTATATGAAAAAACAAAGTTGGCGATGGAAACTTAGAATTAAAATTATACTACTCCATCCTCTAGAGGAGGAAAACTGACAATTAGAACATGTAATTTACTTTAAAATCTCATCAAAAATGATTTTGCGATAGATCTGGTACAAGAAACAAGTGACTATCTGATAATTTCAAGGCCTACCTAGGAAATTCTGTTTTTTGAAATAGCTAAGGTTTGGCAACGTGTATGTATGACATATTAACATTTTTGGAATCAGAATTAAAAACTCTAGATATTCATCTGCGTAAAAATCCAATATGGCGTTTCAAAGAAAAAATAAACTTGATGCTGATTATGCCATATAGTTCATTGCTTATTATTTAAAATCACACTTATAGGTATCAACTTATTATCACGCCACATGTCAATTTGTGACTATAAGGCATCAAAATGGACTTAAAAAAAATGATATTGCAAGATATGTGTTGTGCTTGTAATTCTGTATCTATATGAACAGCTATTTCAAATTATTTGCGTATATTTTAAGAAGCTTCATACAACTGAGAATCGAGTCAGTGGTTTTGGTAGGAAACAAGAAAACTCTTTAACAAGTGATTTCGAGCAAATCGGATAAATCCTGTACCCTTATTTTTGTAGTCAGCAAATTTAAGGCGGCTCCGACGCAGTGAGTTTCAAGCCATTCAGCTGGTTCGAAACTGACACTCCATTTTTGAATATTTTTGAATGAAATTCATACAGTATGTTCAGAAGACAATTGCCCAGGGAGGTATCGGAGCACTTTTTGAAATTTTGTTTTTGCACAAGTTGATGGTGGGTTGAAATGCTTACCTTTTTTTGAGCTTCGCGGTTTTTTAAAAAAGGGTCTAGTGGAAAAAATGAAAAAGTGGCTCTATAGCATCCTGTAGGTTTTTGTTTTCAGGATACTGTAAAAATTTCATTTGAAAATATTGAAGAATGAAGCGTCAGTTTCTAAGCGCGCAAATCGGTTTTTGCACGAATGTTGTCTAGTGTTTCGTGCTGCCAGCCCAAGCGAAGAAAAGACGTATTTAGATAATTTGGTGGCCCTATTTCATATAATACCGTGTATTTAAGTCATTCTTATATTCATAATCGCGATCACTGATGCGAAGTAGATGTTTGTCTCTCTGATCTATCTATATTACACTGGCCAATAAATTAAACCTAAGATGGTGATTACACTGATTTTCTGACGTTTAGGCTGCTTGGACAGATTGAAAATGTTGACTCATTTTTACTTCGCATGCCAGTGGCGCGAAAAGTGAGATATTGGGTTTTTTTAGGTCTTGTATGACATCTGCATCACGAAAAACTGTATCACTCATTTCCGTCTGTATGCCTCTTAATCCTGTGCCCGTCTACAACTTGGAAATTACCGCTCGAATTTTTATGAAATTTCGACAGCAGGTTTTGTAGTTTCAGTCCAGTGCCGGCGGCGCTATAGACAAAAAAATAACAATCGCTGAAACTGCGTTTTTGACGTTTCAGGGGTTCCCTATCATTGTCATAAAAAAATTGTAGTGCTTAAAAAGTCGGGGTTAGAGTTCTACTATATTATTGAGAAGCTAATGATCCCAGCAATTACAGCAAATTTAAATGGCGAAAATCCGATGAATAATGTGCTCACGATTTGAAAAAGTCGGTACCCGAGATATGGGTTTGACACCGAGACCCAGCGGATCTGCAACTGCCGACAGTAGGGAAGAATAAATTCGGATATTAATAATGGGGTTATTAGAGGCAGATCGCTAATCGAAATCCGACTCTTTTATTATGGAAATTTCCCCCGGGACGCGCCTGCAGTCATCCTTTCCTTT